TTTAACTTTCTTTAATTAAATGAAATAAATAATAACCTACATCAAATTAACCGAATTTGCATGAGTTTTGTTTGTTCTGTGTTTAGTATGGTAAACTTATTACACATTTATATTATAGAAGTTTGGTCTGATGTGGAATTGTTTTGTTTGTTTTTCAGCTAGGTATACGTGTTGATATTTCTATAGTCTCCTATTTTCAAAGAAAATTCTGTCGAAATTTTGCAAAAATAGGGGGTTATTATTAGATTGATTTAAATTATTTTAATTAAATGATATAAATAATAATCTACATCAACTTAACCGGATTTGCATAGGTGTTTGTTTATTCTATGTTTAGTATGGTGAACTAATTTCATGTTTATGGGGATATGTTTGGCTTGATGTGAACTTGTTGGTTTTTGGGTATGGATTGTTGATTTTGGGGGATTGTTAAATTTGTTTTTCAATTCTGTATGCAAGTTGATATTTCCATAGTCTCCTATTTTCAAAAAAAACCATGTCGAAATTTTGAAAAAAATATCGAGTTATTACTAGATTGATTGATTTATGTGACCAGAAAAAATTTACTAGATCGATTTAACTTTCTTTAATTAAGTGAAGGCACTGGTTGTCTATCTTAGTTTTTTATTCATTTATAGATAAATAGTATAGATCTATCTTAGTTTTTTTATTCATTTATAGATAAATAGTATAGACCAGCCTGAGAAAAATGGTAGTATATATCCTATTTGGATTAGTTGTACTATGCTCCCTCAAACTATAGGGTTTTTGTCTCATAGCGCCCTCAATTATTAAATTTCTCGCATTGTCCCCTCAATTATTTGAATTGATTTTACACTACCAAAAATACAAATGAATGTTATTTTTTTGACAAAAATATCAGTGTGTAGGGACAAAATGAAACAAAATCTCATAATTTGGAGAAGAAAGTGAAATAATGTTCCATCAAATCTTAAATGGACGTAAATAATTGGACAATATGAAATTAACAATTATATTTGAAACTGCAATATGAAAAACATGACTATTGAGGGGGCAAAGTGACACAAACCTCATAATGTAAGAGATAAAGTGTAGTTAATCGATCATGGTAAAAGAAAGAGACAAGTTAAATTTATTTTTGGCATCTTAAAATGCACCAAAAAAATACACTTAAAAAATCATGATTAACATAAACATCATGATAAAGTACCTAACCCTCCTAGAATGACCTACTGACCTCGGAATAATCAGGCTGAACAAATAACACTCAATTTGGCGAAACCATGTTCAAGGGTGAGTTCTTTTTTGCTTCAAGTTAAAGGTAAAAAGCTCAAATCTTTAAGTTATCTACTTCTATTGTCTTTTGTTTCATTTTGTTTCCTTTTTGTGAAAACTAGAATACCTTTGCATTTTTGGCTAGCATTGGTATTCCAAGGATTCACATGGTTCTTCATGGGCTTAACAGTGAGTCTTAGAAGGCCTAGATATTTTTATCAGTGCAGTGCTATTGTTTCTACATGGGTCTTCTATGAGAATGAGAGGTTCAGTGGTGGAGAAGATGTGGATGGTGGGAAAATTGAGTTGGGTTAGTTCTTAGTTGGAATTGTTGGGTAACTGCTGGGTAGTTTTGTGTTGCATAAATTGAATGTTAATGATATTTGGCAATTGAAATTGATCCATGCTATGCATTGAAATGATTAAATATGTTTACCTTTATATATTGTTAATATGATTTATTTGAGTTTGGATATATCTGATTTGAAGTAATGTGGGAAAACAACATTGAATTCGAAAAAAGTGAATTGGTTTAGTATAGAATCTTGAAATTTTGTTAGTTGTTGCTTTGATAGGTTCTTATTGATTTCATTTTGTTTTCTCTTTGTGCGCTGCCTTTTTTATAGGAAAAGTTTGGCAACAATTGATAATTTTGATCTCTATTATGCTAGATTGGATTTCTTTATGATGTTTGAAGGTGGTTCTAGATGGTGATAGTTTTGAAAGAAGTGTGTGATAGTCTTTGACCTTCGGGGTTCATCTCCTTTTGTTTCCCCTTAATGGCCAAACACAACAATTTTGTTTTTAACTTCTTGGCTGATAAAAAAATGTTGTGAAAGTGAAGTTAGATAAAAATTTTGAATGTAAAACTTTCTCATTTAAGAACCCATGGAAGCCTCATCTCATTAAGATGCAAAATGGCTATATGCATTTATGCATTCTTTTTGTTGGTTTCACATGATGTTGGAACATATGTTCTGTATTTTGTATTAAAAGAATTGAACCTAGCGTTGAAACATATTTTTTATATATGTGTCAAGTAGATCAATTTATATGTATATTAATATGTAGTTATGTTCACTTCTTTGCAACTTTATCCCTGTCACAAGCAAACCTTCCTGATGAATTTTGCGGTCTAAAGCCAAGCTTTCTTGTATTGAAGAGAGTGAAAGGTTATATGTGAGTGGTTAAGAGGGTTATTAATTTCAATTTCATTGCAAAAAAGGGATGAAAAGGTCAAAATTTGTTTATTCAGATGGTTTTGTGGGTTTTTTATTCTTTATCGGGTTCTTTGTGGCTTTACGTAGAGTTTTTCAGTTCTGGGATGCTAGGTTTTATTACATTGTGCAGAATAGCCAAACATTTGGATGCGCCGGTTGTTTTTGCGAGGCTATCGTTTTATGCCCCACAACAACTCTAATTATTACGTAATTGTCTACTCTGCAACTGATCAAAAAAAAAAAACTGTTGTTATTTTGGATATAACAACCAGGTAAACATATGATATGATGGATATATTATGTGTAGTCCAAATACACTTATGAATTATTCTTAAAACTGTATTGTGCATTCAGGTGTTCATAAAACTNAGAGTGATAAAATAAAAAACTTCTTGTTTAAATGAACAAAATTAAATATGTTAACATAAATAAATACTTACAATACTAGCACTAAATAGACTAGTAGTGAAAGGGGATAGGAGAGAAACTCTTCATTTGCATTATTATGAAGGCTTCTTACAAAATATGAAATAGTGAGTTGTGTATAGGGAAGGCTTATGAGAGCTTCCTAGTTACCACTCTATGACGAAAGTTTTTTCTTCTGGAAAAACCCTTGTCCCAAATGAGAAGACTGAAGTCCTTATATANGTATGAATTGTTTGATTTTTGGGGATTGCAATGTTTGTTTTATAGTTATGTATATAAGTTGACATTTCTATAGCCTCATATTTATAAAGAAAACTCTGTCAAAATTTTATAAAAATAGCGGGTTATTATTAGATTGATTTAACTTTCTTTAATTGAATGATATAAATACTAACCTATATCAAATTAATCGGATTTACGTGATTTTTTTTTTTTTGTATTTAATAAGGTGAACTAATTAGACGTTTGTGGAGATTTGTTTTGGCTTTATGTGAAATTGCTTGTTGTTTTGGTTGATGGGTATGGATAGTTGATTTTGTGAGATTAATTCGTTTATTTTTTAGTTTTGTATATTGGTTCATATTTTCATGGTCTCCTATTTTCAAAAGAAATCATGTTTAAATTTTGGAAAAAAGTCGGGTTATTTCTAGATTGACTGATTTATGTGACCCAAAAAGAAAATTACTACATTGATTTTACTTCCTTTAATTAAATGAAATAAATAATAACTTACATCAAATTAACCGAATTTTCTTGGGCTGCAAAGTGTCTTGGTCACTGGTTGTCTGCCTTAGTTTTCTTTTGCATGTATGTTGTGTGAACTGAGTTTAGTAAAATGAACCAAAAACACATTGTGCGATTGATTTATTTTTATTAAAATTGATGCCTGTTTTGATAGGTGGGTCTGGAATGGTGATTTTTGGGAAAATATTGATTATGAATTTTAATTATTTTTATGTCTGATTGTGAATTGTGAATTCAAGAGACTTTGACTTATGTAGACAAATAGTGAATTTCCTGGACTTCTATTATTAGAGCAATCTCTGCTGAAATGACAATTGCCAACAAATGTCAACCTGTCTATATTGATTTTAATTTTTTTAATTAAAGCAAATTAAAGTAAATTTTTTTAAATAAACCGGTTGATTTACATTGCACCGTACCTTCAGGCACGTGTTATCCCTAGTAACATGACAATTGAGGAAGCAATGTGAAAAAGGGTATCATACTTGAGGGGTCAAAATTAACTCGGACAATCGTGTAGTGTAGTGTCGTGTCGAGTTGTGTTCATGTCGAGTCATTTCGACTTCGTGTTGAATACTAATCAACTCTATTAATTTATTTTCATATCATGTTCATATTAACCTATATAATCCATGAATAAAAAATTTAACGCTCAAAATTTCATTATAACTTAATCCAACTTATCCTCGTACTTTTTCTATACCTTAATAAATCTAGTAATAAAAATGAGTAAAAATATTTTTTTTATACAAGAAATAAGTCACTACTTGATAAATTATAAAAAAAAGTTATTCTTATAAAATTACTTAAATGTGTCAATTTTGTGTTGTTTGCATTTGACACTAACCCAATTTATTTATTTTTCGTATTAACGAATTGTGTCATATATTTATTTATATCGAGAAATAGTGAAAGTCTTATACAAGTATATTATGTGTTTCGTGTTGATTTCAAGCTGTGTTTCGTTTTTTTTGTAAGAAATTGCCTCTCTCCATCAAACTATAATCTTTTCAAAGTCTTATCCCAGTATATTCCAATCCACACCTATTTTCTCTTTGAAAAAGTAAACATTTTTCGATGAGTTTCCAACATAAATTGCATCATAGTTTTTGACTATCTCGAACTTGAACCACCGGTCAAGGGCATTTACACTGTACGCGAACTAAACCAAGCATTGGAACGTACACGTATGTAACCAACTCTAGAAAAAACATACATATTCTTTTTCAGCCATTTCAATTGATCCATCATCAGAAAAATAAAAAGAAACAGAAATGTTTCTCCTCAAAGATCCCAAATCATACATATTACTACTCTTGAACATCTCAATACTTGGGCTGGTGGTCTCTGTTTATGGCCCAGGTGATTATATCTATCACTTTTGCTCTACCAACACAGCCAATCTCAGTTACGACACAACCAAACCTCCTTCATTCTTAGACTCTTTAGCATCCAGAGCAGGTGGAGCAAACCACGTCGACTTTTACAATGGTACCTCAGATGACATTTATGGTCTCTTCCTTTGCAGAGGCGATGTTGATCCCCGTAACTGTCAGACCTGTGTCACCAAAGCGAGAGAAGAGATTAGAGGACAATGCCTCTCGAATAAAACAGCGATTATATGGTACGACATGTGCATGTTACGCTACTGTGATATCAATTTTTTTCGGTCGTAACGAAACACTCCCAAGGGTGTTCATGTGGAACATTAATGGAAATTTAACCCTGGGATCATCGGATCCGGAGAATTCCGGCATGCGATTTTTCATCACTTCTTTGATATATAATACTCGGCCTGCGAACAAGATGTACATTCCAGATGAATTACCGTTGGAAAATGTGGGAATAGGTATGGAATGGTACAGTGTACTAGAGATATAAGTGAAGATGGATGTTTAGCTTGTCTGAACGATCTACAAGAGGGAATCAACGAATGCTGTCAAGACAGGCCAGGGTGGCGAATTTCAGGGCCAAGTTGCACTCTTGTCCAATAAAAAAAGGCCATTTAAGTTGACTAACAGAATAGTTATCATGCATCTCATGTGACTATACTTTAAAGTGTCTCATTGGTTTCCTCGAGTTTTATATATTTATTATTTTAGTTCTCCACATTTTTAATTTGTGTCTCTTTAGTAGCTTATGCTTTTTAAAAAATTGGTTCTCTAAGTGTAATCACGTGAAATGTACGAGACCATCTTTGTTAGTTATTGAATCAAATTGACGCAAATTGTATCCAAATTATTCGCCATCCCTTTAGAGCCCTTTGTTTTGAAAGGCTTCTCTTTGGATGAATGTTGGCCTTAGTGCTCTAAGTGTGAGAATTAAATTTGAAATGTAGAATGGTTCAATTTCCTGTGCTTGTTAGTAACCCTGAGGAAGAATTTGACAAATCAAAACTTTTACTTATGCTACCCTCGAATAGGGTGTCACTTTTTTATTCAATTCAATGTGTAGTGCACATGCATTTAGAATACAAGATTTGGATTTTGATTTAGACAACATAGTATTTCTCGATTTTGAATGGGATTAGCAGTAGATCTTAGTATTGAATGAGATCCATTAATAATCCAACTATAATAATGAATTATATCAGCAAATTCAATGGATCAGATAGCATTGTTGTTTGATTATATGTTATTTCTTGCTAATGAAGGTGGAGTACTCACTAACACATCATTCATGAGAGGGCTCATTTTCAAATAATTGCATTTTTACCTTAATACATGTTGTCAATGGCAGGAAACAGAGGAAATAACACCACGAAGATGTAGATAAGGAAAATCACAAGATGTAGATATAAGAGTGATAAAATAAAAAACTTCTTGTTTAAATGAACAAAATTAAATATGTTAACATAAATAAATACTTACAATACTAGCACTAAATAGACTAGTAGTAAAAGGGGATAGGAGAGAAACTCTTCATTTGCATTATTATGAAGGCTTCTTACAAAATATGAAATAGTGAGTTGTGTATAGGGAAGGCTTATGAGAGCTTCCTAGTTACCACTCTATGACGAAAGTTTTTTCTTCTGGAAAAACCCTTGTCCCAAATGAGAAGACTGAAGTCCTTATATAGAGGTAAGGAGCTCTTGGAGGAATTTTTTGGAATGATTGCTCCGTTGTCTTCTTTTTCTGCTTTAACTTTGGGTAAAGTATTTCACTTTAGCCTTTCGGTGGGAAAGTGGAAGTGAATTGCTTTCACCCAGGTAAATGTAGACTTTAGCCTTTTGTGGCAGATGGGTCCTAATGCTGTCTGGAGGAATCTACTTTTGGTAGAAAGCAGATACTGAAAGTGACTGACGGCTACTTTTCGTGAAAGGGTCGTTGAACCAAAACGATTTTTTATCAATATATGTAACATACAGCTTTTCTTTCTCTTATTGAAGAGAATAGTGAGTGAAGCTATCACATATATGGACAAGTATCACTATGGGATAGAAATATCTACCANAAAAAATTACTACATTGATTTTACTTCCTTTAATTAAATGAAATAAATAATAACTTACATCAAATTAACCGAATTTTCTTGGGCTGAAAAGTGTCTTGGTCACTAGTTGTCTGCCTTAGTTTTCTTTTGCATGTATGTTGTGTGAACTGAGTTTAGTAAAATGAACCAAAAACACATTGTGCGATTGATTTATTTTTATTAAAATTGATGCCTGTTTTGATAGGTGGGTCTGGAATGGTGATTTTTGGGAGAATATTGATTATGAATTTTAATTATTTTTATGTCTGATTGTNTCTTGGAAGGGATCCAATGCTGGAGTGACTGATGCTTGTGAGGATGCTGATGAGCTATCTCCACTGGCGACTTGTAGAAGAAGCTGGTGAGCTAGTTTGACAAGCTCTGCAGACTGCTTCTTGGACTGTTTACTAGAGTCCTTAGAAGAAGACTTCTTCTGGTGTGGTTTTCCCTTAATGGATTTTTTTTTCTCTTCTGGAGTAGAAATCCTAAGAGGAGGCATGACATGTTTAACTGGAGTTACTACTGTGATGGTTATCGGTACCACTGCTGGGGTTGGAACCATGACTGGGAACTCCTGTTGGACAAGTCTGACTATTGGTTCTTGTTAGAACCTGGGCCACCATTTGACATAAAACTGTCCGCCGACATTGAATCCAATAATATCTCATTTTCATTTGCATATCCATGGGACTTTATACCTACAAATAAAAGTTAGTAAAATAGGAAACTGACTCTCATCGGTAAACAGAGGAGAAGGCTATAATTTGATCTTGGAGATCAACTGGAAAGATTTCATGAATGGGGCCGCAAATAAACCACCACTGTGTAAACCAGGATGGAATCTGGCTTTTGAAATCTTTGTGGAATTGTAGGAACCATGAATGATCAGAAGAATCATTCTGGTNTGATTATGAATTTTAATTATTTTTATGTCTGATTGTGAATTGTGAATTCAAGAGACTTTGACTTATGTAGACAAATAGTGAATTTCCTGGACTTCTATTATTAGAGCAATCTCTGCTGAAATGACAATTGCCAACAAATGTCAACCTGTCTATATTGATTTTAATTTTTTTAATTAAAGCAAATTAAAGTAAATTTTTTTAAATAAACCGGTTGATTTACATTGCACCGTACCTTCAGGCACGTGTTATCCCTAGTAACATGACAATTGAGGAAGCAATGTGAAAAAGGGTATCATACTTGAGGGGTCAAAATTAACTCGGACAATCGTGTAGTGTAGTGTCGTGTCGAGTTGTGTTCATGTCGAGTCATTTCGACTTCGTGTTGAATACTAATCAACTCTATTAATTTATTTTCATATCATGTTCATATTAACCTATATAATCCATGAATAAAAACTTTAACGCTCAAAATTTCATTATAACTTAATCCAACTTATCCTCGTACTTTTTCTATACCTTAATAAATCTAGTAATAAAAATGAGTAAAAATATTTTTTTTATACAAGAAATAAGTCACTACTTGATAAATTATAAAAAAAAGTTATTCTTATAAAATTACTTAAATGTGTCAATTTTGTGTTGTTTGCATTTGACACTAACCCAATTTATTTATTTTTCGTGTTAACGAATTGTGTCATATATTTATTTGTATTGAGAAATAGTGAAAGTCTTATACAAGTATATTATGTGTTTCGTGTTGATTTCAAGCTGTGTTTCGTTTTTTTTGTAAGAAATTGCATNCAGGTTGGGTTGGTGCAACAAGTCTAGGGGCCTGCTGGGCCATTTAGAGGAAAGTGCTATGGGGCACTATAATGGATTGAGCTACTGACCTTGTTGGGTTAGGATTATCAAGGGGTTGAAACCTATTGACAATCTTAATGAGAAAGGATAAAGGGGTTGGGCTTGACAAGACTATTGGGCTTGACAAGGCTAATTGTTTATCCTTATCCAGGTTTACCTTTTCTTGGACAAATATCTGGCTTAATTTTTTATNTCCACACCTATTTTCTCTTTGAAAAAGTAAACATTTTTCGATGAGTTTCCAACATAAATTGCATCATAGTTTTTGACTATCTCGAACTTGAACCACCGGTCAAGGGCATTTACACTGTACGCGAACTAAACCAAGCATTGGAACGTACACGTACGTAACCAACTCTAGAAAAAACACACATATTCTTTTTCAGCCATTTCAATTGATCCATCATCAGAAAAATAAAAAGAAACAGAAATGTTTCTCCTCAAATANTAGCAATATTTTGTACATCTTTTTCGAGAACATGCTTTGCTGATTTGCAGTCTATTATTATTAAGAAATTCTGATTTAATATATCATCCTGGAATTTCGAGATACACAAAACAATATCTAAAATTTATTTTTTAATTGTACTGTAATTAATTTGGNGATCCCAAATCATACATATTACTACTCTTGAACATCTCAATACTTGGGCTGGTGGTCTCTGTTTATGGCCCAGGTGATTATATCTATCACTTTTGCTCTACCAACACAGCCAATCTCAGTTACGACACAACCAAACCTCCTTCATTCTTAGACTCTTTAGNTTGATCATCTCAACACTTGGGCTGGTTGTCTCTGTTTATGGCCCAGGTGATTATATCTATCACTTTTGCTCTACCAACACAGCCAATCTCAGTTACGACACAACCAAACTTCCTTCATTCTTAGACTCTTTAGCATCCAGAGCAGGTGGAGCAAACCACGTNGAGGAGAGAGGAAGTTGAGAAGAGTTGCATATGTGAGGTTACACTCTAATACAAAGGAGGTACAACTATGAGTTGATAAGTGAAAAAAAAAAAAAAGAAGAAGACTTGTTTCATGTCCTAAGTCTTTAAGGATGAAGTGAGGCCAGAGCTCTGGTGGTCAGTTGCTGGAGTTGAGGCAGAAGCAGGTTCAAAAGCTGGAAGCTCAGCTTGGCACATCAACAGTTATTTCTAACTTCTTGGCTTCAAAGAGTTCTGAACAACCCTTTGAAGTAAGGGAGGGAGGAGTTGAGGAATATCATATTTGATAAATGATAGAATAAAGCAACAAGTTGGAAAGCAAAGAGAAAGGAGAGCTATAAGCTGTAAATTAAACACAAAATATTACAATTCTGACATTTTCGTTCCAAATTTCATTTCAAAATGTTACAATTCTCAGGTAATTAGCCCAAAGCTACAAAAAAAAAAAAAACTTGCTCTGCATCCTAAGTTTTTGATGGGGGAATAAGGCCAGAGCTTTGTTGGTCAGTTGCCGGAGCTGGGGCAGAAGCAGGTTAAAAGTTAGAAGCTCAGCAGAAATGATGGGCAAATCAACAGAGTTTGGGGAAGATCCAACAATGGAAGCTTCTGAATGTGGAGCCTCTGTAGAAGGTGGGAGAACTGAAGCTTTAGTGGCAAGGTCAGCAAGGGAGGGGAGCTTGGCAGCAGGGACGTCTGAAG